TATATGTTTCATAATGACAAAAAAGAAAAATCAAATACTAAATTTATAAATGTTAAAGTTGAATACATTCACCAAATATTAGATCAAGTTAATTTGAATAAAATTATTAATAGCACTTATATAAAGAACTTTTTAGAAAACCCTAATGTAAAATACAATCCCTGCAGACTGGTATACATGTATAAAGAGCCAATATCACAAAAAATTTTTAACTACAATTCTATCCTTAATAAACTTGACGAAGATAAATTAAAACAAATTCTATCAGAAAAATGCAATTGCAAAGAACCTGATAAAGAAAAATTTATTGACAGCAACCACGGACATATAATTACTGGAAATTTGGATATAATCAAAGACAAGCGTTTGAAATCAATAATGAGTAAAGGCACTAAATATAGACTACAACAAAGCACCAATAAAAAAGAAGTACTTGAATGGATACAGGCAACTGTAGAAATGATTATGAACACATATATCAAAAAATACAAAATAAGCAATGAGAAACTCATTAACATAAAAGAATACCTTTCAAAAAAATTTCTACATAAATTAAAACCACTTCTTTACAAATCAAGATTAAAAAACAAACATAGTTATGATTTCAATTCCAAATACTTCAAAGAACTAAGAAATAATTTCGTGATATGTCCATTAGATAAAGCCAACAATAATTTTGGTCTGATATGTATCAAATTTTATATACAAAAATTGATGAATGAACTAGGCATTAATTTACTAGGACCAAATTTACAATTTTCACAAAATTCAACGTATGACATATACACAATGGAAAATAATACAGAAATTATCGAAAGACACAAAATTTTTTGCAATATCAATAAATTACATTTAGAAAAAGTTAACAACATTCCTCTCATATATGCAGTTCCAAAATTACACAAAACACCTACCAAATTTAGATTCATAACTGGTGCTACACATAGCAGTATAAAACCACTAGCTCTCGAATTGAAAATGATTTTCACATTCATTAAAAGTCATTTCAAAAAATACTTGCAAGCTATAAAAAATAGAAATCACAATTTTAACGGATACTGGGCTATAGATAACATTAACATCAGCGAAAATCTAACAAATATCAGCATGAAAAATATGAAGATTTTCTCTGCTGATTTTACAAATATGTTTACAAGCCTACCCCACGATATTATAAAATCCAATATAAAAGAACTTTTACAACTATGTTTCAACAATGCAAATGAAAAATACATTATAATCAATGGAAACAATAACATTTATTATAGCAGCGATACAACACATTTGAGTACAAAATCCAGATCTTATACTTTAGTAGATTTGCTATATTTAGTAGACTATATTCTAGATAATAGTTTCTGTCGCTTCAGCATTTATACATTAAAACAAAAAGTTGGAGTTCCTCAAGGTGGTAACTTCAGCCCACTATTAGCAGATCTTACACTTTCTTGGTACGAATATAGGTATTCTATAAAAAATATCACAAACAATTTCCAAATAATACCTTATAGATATATGGATGACCTTTTACTTATTCATAACATAGAAGAAAATACTATCCACAAGTTAGTCAAAAAAATTTACGAGCATAAACTTCAAATAGAAGCTACACACTTAAGTACTCATACCTGTAACTATCTCGACCTAAACATTGAAATAATAAACAATAAATTGATTACAAAATTATATAATAAAACTGACTATTTTAATTTTAACGTTAAAAGATTCATACATTCTACATCTAGTATCTCGTTCAACATTAAAAAGGCAACCATATATACAGAAACTCTCAGAATAGCAAGAACATGTACATACTTAAACGATTTTCTGCAAAAAATCTCACAACTCAGAGATATACTACTTAAAAATGAATATGACATAAATATAATATCATCATCAATTTTCAAATGCTTAAATAGAAATCCATTCATACTATATAAATACAATATATTCAGTGATGAATTTAAAAAACCGAGTCAAAATAATATATTATAAAACATAAACATAAATTGTATCAACCGATATATATGAAACGAAGTTTGAATGATATATTCAACATAAATGATAATACAATGAAAATAAACAAGTCAAGACAAGTCCATTCTTACTTTGCAACACAGAAGATCACACGACAGAAAAGAAGAATTGGACGACAATCGGAGTATAAGTTGAGTTTTACAATTTTTTCAAAATAATTTCTTTGGAAAATAAAACTAGACCCTCTCTCCTTACTGAAGAGTCCCGGAGAGGGTCTAGATCTCAAAACTCCGTCTAAGGAAAGGGACGAAACGGAGAAACAAATTAAAAAACTATCTTTCTTATTATTATGGTTTCAAATTTGCGCGAACGCGTATCGGAATGCGTCCACTTCTGCATGACCCCAAGCTTCCATTTTATGAGTTCCATCTTTGCGCAAAAAGTGCCAAGGACTTGGCCGATCGAGATTTGGAGGCTAGCCATGCTTATGGTGTACCCTAAAGCGTAAGGGTGGCATCTTTATGTTTGCAAAGATGACCGAGCTTTGATAGAGCAGTATGCATACACGATGCAAAGACTGCTGCTAGCAAATGGAGCAAAAAAGTCGAGTTGTATCTAAACAGTATACAGAACCAACCTAGAGTTGTTTTTCTTCCAACAGGAGTCGCCACCGCAGTAGTGGTAGCCTTTTTTCAGGGAAAGTCGCGATAAAATTCTCACATCCCGTCAGTTACAAGAAAATCAGGCACCTTTCAGGACCCAACTTTTTAAAAAAAGATTATGCTTTTTTCCTTACATACTAATTGGTCCCATCTGTACAGGAATGTCAGCCTCCTGTCACGCGACAAGAAATAATTGGCATGTCATCTACATGTACAGGTTCTAACTAAAAGTATGTATGGCCTACATACCAATGTATTATTATCGACTTGTTCGTGTGGAGGTGAGTCTTGCCAACTGAAAGCGCGGCGGCACGACAAAGTACGAAAAGCAATCCTATAACGTGGAGGTTTAACAAGTTCATTCCTTATGATCAGGAAATGTCCGCAACTCGCCTTCACACGAATCTGGGAGCTATTTCGGATTGATTTATTTTCCAGCCACTAATAATCCATCTGCAACCAAATTTTGAAATGAACATTAAATCACGAAAATATCATGCTGCTTCCAATAAACGTAGAGGGCTTATCAATTGCAGAGTCGGGACCAGCGTCTCCGCTCCCGTGAGCGCTTCGCATGGACTCGCCTCTTTCGCGAACATGCTATATAATCATTTTCGCACGCTTTATTAGCGATTAAAGCTCCACCTCTCTCACGCTCGTGGCGGAAAAGTGATAAGAGAGCATGTTTGTGACAGGGGTGCAGAGTTCTAGACGAGG